GTGCTGTGATGCACTAAAATGAGACCTTAGGCGTGACATGTACTGTTTATGTTATTACCTGATCATTACCTGATGTTTATCTTCAAACTTGTCTACACGTATCCTTCATAGCTCCATGAGCCCCAATGTCATCCTTCTACAAACATAACTTAAAGCATATATTTTTGAATACAAAAATTTATAAATCCTTTTCTCTTTTTTGTACAATCATGCTAGTTTTCACAATGAAATGAATGTTGTGTTTTAAATTTGATTGTTTCTGGCAGAAACTAGAATTCAATTAATATGTGTATAAAACTAAGCTTCAAATCAATATGTATTAAACTGACCACTTTGTCAGCGATTTTCTCCCAGATGTTGAGGATCCATGCTCCGCAATGCTTTTCAGACAACAGTTTGATGTGTCCACTGCATCTTGTATTCCAGCCACCCTTGTTTTCCCATCAGTGATATTATTTTTCTTTCCAGAAATTACTGGGATGTTTGGTTTTCCCTCGCCCGTTTTTTTGCATTTAGACTTCTTCGCCTTTTTTCTTTTGCATATCGTTTTAGATCATCCTATTTCTTTTTTACATCAGCAACATCCCTCTTGTGGCCACCTACTGCATTTACCTATGCATAGTATAATGATGTTTTTTTTTAAAAATACGAATAGTTGATAATCACATGTTTACTATTTTTGTAATAACATGCGCATTTGTAATAATTACATGGGGGGGGGGCTACAGGTAAATTGATGGTGCAGATATTGAGACACGGAAATGAATTAACATCTTTCTATGATGCAAAGAACAATTTACTAAGGAGAAACTATATTTTTACATGTGTCTCTAGTAGTACTAAGCTTAGCATGTGTATTAAAACTTACACTTTTGTTCTAGGTAATAGTAATAGATGTACATATTAACTATTACAAAAATACCTGAAAATATAGTGGCATGTTGTTGCCTTGTTTGTCATTGGGGGAGCGACTTACAAACAGGCATTCCTCCTAAGTTATGTTCTTGTATCTTGTACAGGCAATTAATACGAAGTATATGTAAACAAGAACAGGCCTGTTTGCTGTATATTTCCTTATTAATGCCTACAAGAAGAAAATAAGTTTTAAAACCAAGCATACCAATGAAAGAAGTATTTTGGATAATAAACTTTTTTCAAGTAAGCTTTGAAATCTCGCCAAATCCCGTTTTTTTCGGGAGATATTTAGAGATTGGCTGATTGAAACCAATAATATAGGTTATATAGATGGACTGGTTCTGCATCAACAAACATTGACTGGTCAGCCAGATTTTGGGTAAAATGATATTCTCTTTTTATAGGCCAATAAAATTAACAACATATTGATCTATAAGTCTTCAAAGACTTAGAGGGAAAATGTCTTAAATATCTGGGCTCATACAAGAATCATAGTGAGCTTCATTCCACAAAAGAGGCAGGTGTCTCTTACATTGATGATTAGAAATGGAAAAAAGAAAGTTCGTAAGAGTATCATTTATATAATCTTTTACCTGAGAATTCTGTGTTTTAGCCATAATATCCACAGTTTTCAAAACAGTATTTGGCCAGACAGTAAGTCCAAGTTCACTGAGCTTAGATACATATTTTAATTATATGCATTTACCCCATGCAGAAAAATAATTGCCTATTTGTTAATTTACATGGTTCACTATGATGTCATCACTCACTGTATTGCATGTAAGTGAAAAAGTATTGTGTGTGCAACTTTCAAAACAACTGAACTTTAATAGTATTTTAATGCCACATATTGTCTTGTTAGGCTGAGTCGGTGTCGCAATTATATTGTCTGTAACTTGTTCTAGATTGGATGGTTTTTGGAAAATGCTAGGCCTTGTGTTGTAATGAGGGGAATGTATTGGCTGCCTAGTGGTTATTACTGGTGCAGGAACTAGCATGTGGGAAACTGCACCCAAATTGCTTATTGTAATTCGAATACTATCCAATGTATGTGTATTAGGGGCCATAGGTGCTGATGTTGCAGCTGTCAACTATGCTTGTTGAGATGTTACAGGTGCATTCGAGGTATATGCACCATCGTCCTTGGGTACTTCTTCTATATGCGGTGCACCTTCCTACTCCGTTTCTAGGAGGCTTCTAGTTCACTCTTTCGATTAAGCATCACCAAGGGAAGAGTTATGATTGGATTACTTAACCTCCACGTCATTATCTGAGATCCGTAGACCCCACCCTTAATACATTCCATTGCGTCAGTTTTATCATCAGCAGTAATCCAGTACACTTGAAAGTCAATCAAGCGTCTCTTGAGGGTACTACGTCTCGTAAAACTCTTGTCACAGTTCAGGCAAAGGTACCTTACAGGGTCTTTGTTCTCCATGTCTGTAACTACTTCAGGATATTTTCTCTTTGTTGTTTTTGTCCTTGCCATTCAACATGAATGTGAGCTGAGGTTGTAAGTGTCTTATTATTTGAGCTCAAAAATCTGGTGCGAGCACATTTTGTCAAGTGACCTGCAAATTGGTCAGATGAGAGAATTTGATTGGTTGCTACTTTAAGTTAGTTAGTTAGTTAGTTAGTTAGTTAGTTAGTAGACATTATATAAAATTATGAAAAGTGAAATATCAAGTCTTATAGTATTTTTTCTTTTACTAGACATTTTGCTATAGTTAAATTTAATGTGCATATTCTAATTTTGAGGTATAAGAGGTTATTTTCAAAGGAAATTAATAGGAATTCTTTATTCACTCAACAGCTCAAGTTAAAGGGGAAATAGAAATATGAAATTTGTTGTAAATATATCATTGTGTATTATCACTTGTGAAAGTTAAGACTGAATATAATGAATTCATTGCATACACTGTACTTGTTGATTCAGGGTTTCTTCAGTTTTTACAGTTTTTCGCCTTTGGAAAAGGAGTAATAAACAAGATATCTTTCAATCTTAATGTCTTTTATGGATTATGATGACGGCTTTGCAAATGTTGACCCTCTGAATTGCCTATGGACTTCAAGACTGGATTTTATCTATCCCACATTTTAAGACTGAATACTCTATCTTTTATGAGTACTAGTATCTACAACTATTTTTGATGTAATGAGTATTGGTTATCAATTTTTTTTCAATTTTTCTTCAACATATATTGTAATGACTTCAGTATGGATGAAATGTCCCTTGGTGTTCTGAGTGTTTAAGGAAAGTATTTACACAATAGCTGTCATGTTTCTTATCATCTGAAATACAGCTATGTAATTTTTGATGATTTCATGACACGTTGGGCATATAGAAACTATTGATGGGATACTTCTCAATCTTAAGTTTTTGAAAATAAGGTATCATTTCAAAAAATCAAAATCACTGCCATCTTCCTCACTTGTGTTTTCTTTGATGATCTCATTCTGTTCACTTCCTACATCTCTTACATTCTCATCCTCACCCTCACGTTTATTGAGAAACTAGCCAAGTAGATACAGTATGTGTCTAGAAGTTTGTTATCTTCCTTCTCGTTTATTTATTTGTTTATTTATTTGTTTCAAAAACACACAAAAATAAAATACATGAAATGGGTGACACTTAATAAAGTGTATATTCCCAAAATTGAACTACAATACTACAATACTGTTGACACACCAAACAAATGCAGTTTGGGACCTACCTATGCATTCATCCGTTAGAATAAAAGTATTGGTTTGTCACATCAAAATAGACCAATTGAAATAACATTTTATCATAAGGTATGACAAGAGTGTCCTACGAGACTGTTCCTCACACTAAGCTTGACATTTTTTTAGCTATATATCCGTCTCTTGATGGCGAATCATGTCGTCTCTTGGAGCTCATCTTATCTGAAACAACATAAGGGTCCTGTAAGTAAGCTTGCTGTCTTTTCTTTCGTCTGGGCACTGCATCAACTGTGGAATTTCAAGTAATTTCTAGACGTGTCAAGCTAGTCTAGGAACTCCGTTGTATCTAGAGATTTCTAGAAGTGTCAAGACGTGCATAGAGCTGGCGTTGAAAGAGCGTGTCAATAGTCTAGATAACTCTTTGCACGTCGTGGCTAGACTTGTCAAAACAATTGGAGGATCACGTGGGATTTTGTGCTACGGGCACACTTAATTATAATTGCAATTATAAGTAGGCTACATGTACATCATGTTTTTTAGTGTTTATGCTTTATCTACAACCTTCCTGCATGAAGATGGAGAAATGGAGAAAATAGATCTACTAGGTGGGTACAAACTACAAAACACTTTAAGTTACATTTAAAAATTTATTTACACAAACTATAATATATACATGTACATATAATTACATTTGGTTGTATTTACAATGTTCATCATTATTTAAGTTACAATGCATAGAAAACAAGTCAAACAAGGACGGCAGAGTGGCTGAGGGTTGCAACACTTAGTTGCAACAGAAATGAATCTAGGGGTAATCTCGTGAATCCTACCCACAAATGTCCCTACTGAAAAAATGTCACTATGTACAGAGAATGCCTTGGTAGCACTCTGCACCTCCGGGGCTATCCAGTAGCACAGGTGATCGGCTGGTTTAGAGTACTTCCTCAGCTCTGCTAGTGGACAGGCAATCCCAAAGTCGATGATGATGCCTGATGTAGAAGATGATAGAAGGTAGTTATTCAATTTGATATCATCCTCCATTGATGTTTCTGTAGCTCCAAGGTGTACACACTCACTTAATATTGTATAGGGTGCTCCATTGAGGTTTACTGCCAGGAGGGTTTGTATAGAATCCGGTTTGTGCAGCTGCCAGGTGTTGAAATTCTCGGATTGAAGATTCTCGACTTGTCAGCTGCTTCACTGCAATACTTGTGCCATTCTGGAGACGTCTTTGGGTAACCACGCCAAATGAGCCTTTTCCCAAAATACATTCAAAGGAGGAAAGTTGCTCAAAATCTGCTTCCACGTGCTACCGTTCACCTGCTTCAGTACTGTGGGGATTTTGAAGGTAGCCAAACGTAGTGTATAATCGGTCCATTTCTAACTGTGTGGCGTGAAGAAGATCAGAGGTGCTTGTTTTGCTTTTGTAGGTCGTTGACTTGCTGTGTTGATGGAGAGGTGAAATCTGTCTGGGATCCTGTGCTGGTGAATTCTATTTCTGTCTTGGTAGCGATTTCCGATGTAGCAGGGCCTTGTCTTGTGGGTGGTGATTCGAGTCTTTCAATGATAGCTTGTATTGTCATACTGCATGACGGTTGTATATCCAAGTCATCAGTGTCTTCGTTGAAGGCTATAGGTGCTGACTGTGGGATTTCGGAAGAAACGCTCCTGTAGTAAACCCCGGAGTAGTAATACTTTCTCGGTATGTTCTTTGTCGATTTCCCGCCATTGACTAGCTTGGTTCCTGGGTAGAGTTCTTTCAGGCATCTTCCAACCATTGTTCTTGATATCTTGAGTTTTGTCTGGCTTAACATATCATTGTAGACATTGCTGCTGTATACTCTTATTTGAGTGTCTCCATCTTGGTCTGTGAGGTGACATCCAAAAAAAATAAAATCCAATATGGCGAATATTTTCCATTACCATATTTACAATAGTCCATAATTAATTTCTATAGCGTAATGGGCAATCTTAGCCCGTGTTTCTCCATCAAAATTGTTGTAATCCGATCTCTTGGCTTTTAGTATAAAAAACCTCCTACCTTATACCCACCTACGTGGGACATGATACAGTCATTGGATGGTTCAACTTTAAACATTTTTAATTCTCAAAATAGCTCTAATTATTATCATTAATTATTATCATATCACCAAACACATGATTTGGGGTGTTACGATAGTCAGCAGCAAGAGCTGATTCTACTAAATCGCGTGGATCTTCCTGTTTACTGCGGGTTATAGTAGCCATTTTCAGTGCTCCGTATATCTGTTGCTGATTTTGGACACTTAGTTTCCCTTTACCTATACAAAAATTTACTTTTGTAATTTTTATCATGGTTTACTCCAAATATTACTAAATAAAATAAATTAAAAATAAAATAAAAACACCACAAAGTTTTATACCTACAAAAGTGTCAATCAAATTAATAATTCCTATTATACAAGGTATTCTAACACATGATGATATGAAATAATGCATGATCATCTTTTAAAATAAACTACCTCTAAATGCAGGATTTTCTTCTGCAACTTTCACCATGGAAGCTTTCACATTTTTTAGGGCATGGTTGATACATTCTACTTTTTTAAGACCTGCCCATTGTGGACCATCACGTCGGATAGTAGCCAGCACGCTACTATTTCCATCCCCAATAATATGAGTATATCTTAAACCCCCCATCTCGTCAATTTCTTTGAAAGCAATGAGAGCTCCTTCACTCTCCATTGACTGGGCGGAGCCCTTGCACCATCCACCATCAAGGTAGATATAGGTGGATGGTATACCCTATAAAAGATCAAGGTAGTTTATTATATATCATGTATAATGTGAACATTGCTATCTCTGAAACAGAAATCGAATTGATAATATTGAATTAGCTGTAAATATGTTTATCGTAAGCGTATTGTAGAGTGTAGACCTACCTGAATCAGGGCTGTTAACTTGGGACCACCTAATATGAGTGACTTACAAATGTTGGACACCTAGGTACAAAAATTTCCAATTAACATGCGTGACATATACGGGATTCGCGTGACAAATCCGAACAAATTGTGTTCGGTTTTTTTCCGACGTTCCTATTTTTACCGTATCGTAAACATATTTTGAAAATTTTTCTACAGAAATATTTTTGCTTGACAATTACCAGGTAAGATGCGTATTTGCGTGACATTTTCTGTCATGCAAAAAAAACTGGCGTCACTTCAAATTCTTCAGCAAATGCGTGACAAATACGCAAATTGCGGGACAGTTGACAGGCCTGCTGAATGATGAACTGGATTTATACCAAAATCCTTAAACTGCATAATGTCATAGAATTTAGCCTCAATTCTATTCCCTAGGAAAGTGCATTCATCTGAGATTGGGGAGTTTATTAGAATGGAGCTGAAAACAGCACGATGCATATTTTTCACGATTAGTTCATTTTGTTTGTCTGAATTTAAAGACTCCAATGTCTTGGAACACTTGTCTACTTTATCACTGAGAACTGCTTTATATTGCTTCACACTTTCATCGAAAAACTGTTGGCCAAAAGATAGATATGACGACGATGTTTTATATATATCCTTCAATTTCAACTTCAAAGTGGCTGCCATTTTTACAAATCAAGAATGCGAATTAGAGATTTCTTGATTTGACGAATGCGCCCAAATATTTCATTACACTAGACGAAATACTCCAAATGCGCGCAATGAATTCTGGTCTAGCACAGCAACCAACAAATCATCGTTAATTGCACCAGTCATCTGTAATGTTTCCCTTTGACTGTTTAAAACTATCTAAATTGAAAATAAACACATTGAGGTTATGCTCCTTTTGGTTATCATGATATGCTCTACAAATTATTATCATAAGTCGAAACCTAAGTCGAAATCTGAACACTTTTGTCCAAATTTTGAACACCTTTGGCCAACTTTTAAACACCTTTGGCCAAAGTTTGAGCACCTTTGCCAAACTTTGATCACCTCAAATTTTCCACCTCAAACATGTGGAGAAGAAACTTTTGCTATGTTTAAATTGAGAAAAGCAAGATCCTCTTGTTAGAAAATAAGCCTAACATTTTTTTTAAAGTGCCAAGGTGGGGCCCTAATCCATGATTTCTCAGAGAGTTGGATTGATATTTTACTATCATGGGGACTTCACTTCACAACATATTGATTTAATAAAAACCATTGTTTTTATGGCCAGAAAGTACTCATGGTGAAAGATATATGACTGTCTGAAATCACTCGCCATACTGCACGTGGTCCTTTCCTGATCACATTGCTAATGTTACAAAGAGATGAATAGGAATGATCAGTGTCTTGGTTTTTACTGCTGTTGTTGTTGAGACTGACGACTGGTGATTTATCAAGTCCAGAAGAGATTGTTGTAGATGTAGGACTAGATCTAGATGTACTTGCCAAGTAACTTGGCCTAGATTCTAGGCTACCATTTTTAGAAATATCCTGATCAAAATTAGACATGAGTTGAAAGAGACGTGAGTTCCATCGATGTTTTTGAGAGTGATGTATGCTTTCTAAAAAACTGTTTCTGTTTAGCTGATTTAAATCCATACTTTAACTTTGAAACAAAAATAGTAGTTACTGACGAGGACTTTGAGCGTCCGTCCTTTCTTATGATTTTTGTACTGACGTGTCTACACAGCGGAGTAAAGTTGCAGTCCACGGGGAGATTTAATTCCTCGGGAAGATTTAGTTCCTCGGGAAGATTTAGTTCCTCGGGAGTGCTGGTGCTCATCTGTTTGTGTTCCACTAGAGACTTCTTGCGATCACTTTCAGAACTGTGGTATACAGCGTTTGGTTCGTGATCACAACTTGGGCTAATTTATTTTACAATTTCCATATTGGATTCGAACATTCCGTCATAACCGTGTTAACTCTAATCATAATGTGTAAATCAGACCGTTACAGTATTATTTCAAGTTACATACAGTACTGCTTTTGCCGAGAGTCACATCGGCACGCTCCGAGGCGCTCGCGATCGGCGCTCCGATGGGCCGCAATGATTTCGAATCTGTTGCCAAAATGGCTGCCATTTTAACAAATTGTTGAAGCTGTGTCTCTGGTTCAAATGTGTCAATTGTTCCTTCAAGTATGTCAGAAACACTATGACATCATAATACAATACCATTTTGTCATTCAGGGATGTTTCAAGAAGATTTATTGGTGCATTGAATTCAATAAGTCAATGTTTTATTTGTTTTTAATAACCAATGTGTGTAAAGGTGATATAGTAAATAAGACCTGCCCTGGCCCCCTTATCCCTTGGTTGCTATAGCAACCATATCACACAATATATCGTTCGCATTATTATGATGTTTTTGTATATGAAGGATGGATTACTGCCAGACATACATACCAAGTTTTAGCAAGAATAGATAAAATTTGATGAAATGAGAACAAAAATGTCAAGACTTTTTGGACAACCCTTGTACTTAGCACAAATAACATTTCATTTTTTTAAAACCACAAACCTTGTGATATTTTCACACAAAACAATTTATTGAGGCAAGAGTGTAACCCCTGAAATGTTGCGCACACTTTGAAGTCATCTGACACGGTGTACCATGTGTCAAGTTATTCTTGTAAAAGTTGTCGCAAACTACTACAAAGGCTGAACCAAGTAGAAATATACATTAGTTTATCATTTGCATGCATTTCATTTCAAAAATAACCATTTAGAAACTTTTTAAAATAAAATTTTAGAATTAAAGACGGTATGTTAATATAACCAATATAAATGTAAAAGTCACTTATTAATTTCCAAGCAAAGATGCTTTTCCGTATATATTCTATCAGTATCACCTCCAATGAATTTTGAGACTGAATCGGATACTAAATTAAAAATCATATAACAGAGTAAATATTCTTCTTGGCTGTATAAGTAATAATGTCCACAAATTATGTTTTGAGGCAAGGTTCAGTTTTGATAACAACTTAAAAAATTCTTTTCTCAATTGCAGATCTTACAAATACTATACTTAAATACTTTGGACAAAACAAGTTGCATCTTTTTCTCATATCAGCTTTTTCAGTTATCAGAATATTATTGTACTTACTTTATCAGCCTCTTTATGACGAGCTTTTGTTCTGTCTTAAATTTTGAGAAAATTATCATTCAGGAGGATCTCATCATTTGGTACATCCTTGGCTGGTATTGAGTCACCTCCCCGATCTTCGAAAGAAACACGGTTCTTTGCAGTGTATAACTTTTTCTCCAAATTACACGAAGTATTGACCCACTTGTCTCAGTGAATCTTATAAACAGTGCATAAAGTTTTTTCTATGCAATGATTGGCTCACAGTTACTTATAGTGTAAGTTATTTTATTTCTATACAGTGTGGAATAGAGTGTATAAACTTTTACAGTTTCAAGCAGGTTTTAGTGTTTTCTGACCAATGATATATTCAGACTTATTCATTTCACGATTATGTAATACTGACCTACATATCTGTATAGCATATTATACTGTCTCGCAATTTTTTAATCAGGAAAACATTCCTTGACTGGCTCTCAGGTGATTAGCAAAACTAAGTGAGATGTTGTGTGCTACCATTAGTGATGTCATCTTTATTTCAGCAGTCCTGACCTGAAATACATCTTTGGAAAGGTGTATAGATTATTATATTTAGGTGAGATTATTCAGTCCTCTCCTCACCCCTCCTTCTCCATTGTAACACTTTTGTTGGCAACCTCCCTCTTGTCAATTACAACAACCTCTACAATGTCGCCACCAATATATATGAGGACATATGTACAAAATTTGGCTGTGAACCCTGGGGAGTCCATTTAATTCAAGATTTAATCCAAGATTTAATCCATGTTTTAATCCATGTTGACTGGTGATCAACTCGATGATGCTGGTTCAGTCATATTAGTTTCCGACTCAGAAGCTAACTCAACAAGCTTTCGCTTT